TCCGTATTGGGGAATGGGAATCCATAAATGGAAATGGAAATGCATCGATCAAACACAATCAAAGGGAACCAGTCATTGCCAACCAATATCAAGGCAATAAACAATGAATTGGAACCTGATGAGTAGCTCGCAATAATCGACTGACTGTATGCGTAGAACTGGCTTGAAGGGAATAATGCCATGTCTCAAGACCAAACGTTAATGTTTAAAATCCGGGCGTGAAAATATCATTCACCACGAGCATTATCATGGGCCACACTAAATCGTTACATTATACTTTTAAGTATCATCTACGACCTACTCCTCGGCCGCGCTGACGCAGGGCGCGCTGGGCTGCGCCTGGTGGAGCCCTTGGCCCGGGATTTGGCTGGAGATTCGGTCAGCGCGCATCGCTTGGGCGATACCTTGGTACTCACCTGTTCACTCTGGGGATTTTTGACCGTCTCGTCAACGCTGAGGATCAAGCACGCCGCCTCGCATGCACTACCGATCGCGTTGATTTTAATCAGCGATGGCTCCCAAACGAACGCGGACAAGTTGTCCCGGACGCCCTCGTCGCTATCGACGTCAACGCCAGCCCATAGGTTCTCGCTTAACTGAGGATGATCCTTGGAATTACGGCCCATCGCGTGGCGCATGCGCAATTTGTTTAGCACGTCGGTCGAGTCGAGCCCAGCGTTCTCGCAGATTTGCCTAGGAATAATTTCGAGGGCACGTGCAAAGGCGGCAAGGATGAGCTGGTGTTTGTTCGGTAGCGTTCGGGATACGTCTCGGATGTATGCCGAAAGTTCCATCTGGCCACTAGGTTAATCCAGCGCCGGGCTATTCACGATCCACTCACCTCGATAGCTCCGCCACCCGCTACAACCTCGCTGTTCTTGACCGCGCGGCGGACGACCATGATCGCGTCATGCAAACTGCGCTCGACCTCTTCAATAAACTGCTCTGCACCACCACGCAGGACCAGCGTGCACGTCTTGGCCTTTGGACACTCCTCGAAGATATTGAAGCGCTCCCCACCAATCTGCTTCTCCTCAAACTTTCCACAAGTTCCGAGGGATTCTGGAAGGATATCGGAAGTAGTACTCTGGACCGTGCCACCGACGGCCTGAGTGACGCGACGAAGATCATCGGCAGGGACACGACCAGCGCAGAAAACGCCACGATCCGCGAACCACTGGGTTGCCAAGTCTCCGATAGGGAGTTTGGACAAGACGACCTGCGCCCCGGTCTTGTGGATGCGCTCTAGTTTATCGTAGATAATCTGCCATTCGGCGTCAACAATGGCCTGGTAGTCCGAAACCGCCTCGACTCGGACTTCCGCGTTGTCCTTTTCCGCCTTGAGCTCGAGTTCGACGTTGAGGCAGACGATCTTGGGGTTGATGAACATTTTTGGCTGTTGCTCCGCGCCTGCATAGGTAAAGGTCTTCTTGAAGGCCACACCACGGACGAGGAGTGAATCTTGAAGACCGCCACCAGGTACCTTTTTGACGCCAATAAGGCTCTCGTCGAGGTCTTTCTGGTCCAAGCATCCCACAGCGTCGACAACCATACGGGAGAAGAACGGTTTTTGGGAGTGGATGAGTTTGGACGACATGGATGTCGAGGCGCATTTGATGAGCAGATCGTCGTATTTACTGCAGACGGTGAATTTAAGGTAATAACGAGAGGCAGACCACTTACGCGGGGTCCGATTTATCTATCACGATTTGGACCTCTTTGATGCGGTCGATGGCCTATAACCAACGTCAACTGTCGGGGTCAATTAATCTGGCAGACGCCTACCAATTGTGCGGCCTTTCGCAAACCCTTGATAATAATATGTGGGCTTACTCCCTCTTCGATATATGAACGCGATTCTTTGAGCATCTGAGCAGCCAAAAGCACGACGCTAGTCGTCCCGTCGCCAACTTCAGCATCTTGGGCGCGTGCAATGTCGACCAGAGTTTTAGCAGCTGGGTGAACAATATCCAGCAACTTGAGAATCGTCGCTCCGTCGTTGGTAATTTCAGCTTCGCCTCGCTCGGATACAATCAACTTGTCCATTCCACGAGGTCCCAGAGTAGATGAAAGCGTATCGGCCACGGCCAGACAAGCAGAGATATTGGAGAGCAATTGACCTTTGCCCTGAGACGTGTCTGTGCCTTCTTTTAGAAGGATCACAGTCGGTTGCTAATATTGTTTAGTTTGCCATGCCTGGTTATTTTGTGGAAAGCATACCATGGGTAGGCCTCGTTGCATCGTGATATATCGTAGGGGTGAAGAACAATTCGCGCACGACGCGCATCCAAAATCATGTGTATGATGTAAGCTCGGACCCTAATTTAAGCGCCAACCTAGGGAACGCGTTCCAGAGATCGCCGCCACATTCAACATGCCTTCCAAACGAACCCGCGAGGTAGAGTCCGACGAAGAGTCGAGTGGTGAAGAGGCCCCTGTAGTGAGCAAGAAGCCCACATCTGGGTCCGGGTCCGTTTCTGTTCCCGTTCCCGATAAACAAACCGATGCGGACGGAAATACGTATTTCGAGGTAAGTGTTGAATGTTGAAACCCCAGTTGATTCTAACGTCTGGCTAGATTAGTGGGAAGCGTCGCGTAACGGTCCGACCTTTTAATGGGCTAAAACTAGTTGATATCCGTGAGGTGAGCACAATCAACACCTGGCCTGTGCTTGATCTCATTGTTGTAGATGTACACAGACAGGGCTAGTGGAGAGTTGAGGCCAGGAAAGAAGGGTATTTCACTGTCGGAGGAGCAGGTGGGCTCTAATCTAGTATTGCTAACCGCGTCCTAACAAGTTTTAGTTCATGGGTCTAGTCAACGTACATGGTGCGATAAGTCAAGCGCTGAACGAGCTTGATGTCGGGAGTAGCTCCAAAACCACCAAAACCACTAGAACTGCCAAAACCACCAAAACCACCAAGGCCAAGTGCGTCATTAATACATTACCAACTGTCGCATCTCACACCTCTCCAGAGCTTCGTCATCCAAAGAATCCAAAGCCGAATCCAAACCTGCCTCGAGATCCAAACCTGCGGCCAAGAAAAAGGCACGCAAAGAGGAGAGCGAAGAGGAAAAAGAGGAAGAGGAAGAAGAGGAAGAGGAAGATTGAGCGCCCTATTGCGATATACACATTTAATTTAATTCTTGTTACTCTCGCGTTTGGCGGCTTCTTCTCCTTCCTTTCGCCACTCTCTCGACTCCCATGCGTCGTACTCTTCTCGGCTGTCGATCCATCTGCGAGATATGGTTAGCAGTGAGGGGCAGGATGGCTGATGACGTACCTCTCTTGTATGTCTTGGATACTATGACCAGGTAGCGTTCCCATCGCTGAAGTAAACAACGCGTCTTGGTTGGGTCGTAAAGTCCCTTTGGCTTGAGGGGCTCTCCCGTTGGATTGGGGCGCTTGAACGAATACGTATCCGAGGACCCGATCGATAGTGTGCATCAAGTGCAGCATGGATTGTTTGTCCTACGAATGAGTTAGTTCGAGTGCTCGAGCTATTGGAGCAAATGGGCGCACCTCGACCGCCAGCGTCTCAAACGCAACGAGACTAAAATCTTCAACCAACCCGCAAATCGCCTCGTTCAGTGCCGAAAACCGGGGATGAGAGGCCGATAGAATGTTTTGAAGGTACGACAAATCTTGGACTTCGGTATAAAACTCGAGATTAAAATCTGCCTACATGAGTATCCGCCCAATAAACTGAGGAGAGACCTCACCTAAATCTCCATATCTCGACAACAAATCCAACTTGGAAAGCACGTTTACATGGGGTAACCCCATATGCAACATTGTCCTCAGCGAAAGCAACAGCACCGAAACATACTTGGCGGCGTCCGTCACATAATACGCATCGCATAGATGCACAGCAGCTAGCTAACCTACCACCCCCTATCAGTCAAAAAATCAAACCCCAACAAAGGCGAGACAAACGCACCCGAAATCCAAGCTTCTCCAATTTGCCCACCACACTCTTCAAGCTCTCATGGTCGGAGCTCAATTCGACTTGGCCAGGTACGTCGAATACAACGTACGAGTCACCGTTTAATAGGTTTTGCGAGCGAAGTTGTTCTTCGAGCCAGTCAAAATTGGCATCGAGGTATTCCATGCAGTAGAGCATCCCGCCGTTGGGACCTAGCCCGTGTTCGTCCATGGCGTCTTGGAGAGAGATGAGCGACGCAATGTCAATGTCACATTTGTACGGTACGTGATCGTTGGCCGGGTCGAGGTTTACTACCGCGATTGGCCGTTGAAGGGCTGTTAGGAGCTGGGCAAACGTTGGTCTGAGCGCGTTAGGGGTATTAATAGAACGTACTTGTTGTTTCCCATACGCATACGTTGATTTCCCACTTCCCGGTGAGCCAATAATAATTTCTCCGAATGGCATGGATGTGGCGGCTGTCAAGTAACGCGTCCTGACAGGTGCCTCTAGAATAATTCATGGGCTGGAGGGGTTATACAAGGCAAGGTGGGACGTATATTCAAGCTTCCTTGGCTCAGTTGGTAGAGCGTTGGTCTCATATTTCAAATATGAGTAATCACGTAATTGATTATCTAATCCAAAGGTCACCAGTTCGAGCCTGGTAGGGAGCATAGCATTTTGTATTTTACTTTTAGTCGGATGGTGATATTAGAATTTGGATTTCGTCGACAGGACACCAACTCAAGAAGCAAACATCAAATATTTTTTACGCTTAATTGCGAGACTCCATAACATTCAGAAAGGTTAACATGATGATGTCTGCAAATTATCAAACTACTTGGCCAACCGCGCCTCAATTTCAGCCATGACCTCCAGTGTCAGAAGGGCACTGGAGGTGCTTTTCATGGGTATGCTCGGCTAAAGCCGCGAGCCCATGAAGATGGTTTCAAACATAAATAGGTGAGTTGTGACTACAAGTCGTCGGCTGGTAAAGAGAAACGCATGTCAACGACCTTCATATATTGCAATAACCAAACCAGATTACAGCCCGCATTGAGCGGAACCTGGAGTGAAACCTGCAATCAATGCTTGAAGCGTGCAGCATACAAACAACTCACCTAGTCATCAAAATCACTTGCCATATCCCAATCTTGGTCGCTCCCACCACCCAATACAGTCTCATCACCGTTATCCTCTTCCTCGTCGCAAGCGTCGTTGACCGATGCAGCCTGAACCTCGACGCGCCACGACTCTACATCCTGTCTCTCCTCTTCGTGTCTCTGGACCATGGTCACCCACGGGCTTTGAAGGCCTAGACGTGGGGGTGTTTCCTCATGAAAAGAGTGCGTGTTCGAGAGCACATATGATCTTCCCGCTCCAAAATAATCCGTCTGCAACATCGACATCCGGTGTACATCGTGCCACACGGGCTCCTCTTTGGCAACTCTGCTCCTGGCTACTCCCCGGCTAATACCCTCAAACTTGAACCCAAATTTCTCGAATATCCAGCACAGTTGCTTGGTATTGTACAAAATTTGTTTTTTGATGGTCGCCGAATGTGATGGTCGTATAGGGCACACGATCGAAGCGGTCACGCGGCGGATACCGAGTGTGCTAAAGGCGTGCTCGACGAGTCGCTGGGCAACATAGCGGCCATACCCCTGCCTCTGCGCTGCAGGCCCAAGTGCAATCCTAATTTCTGCAGTGTCGCCTGGGATATTTTCAGATTCCGGGACATCACCACCGCCCCATTGGCGCCCAGGAGGGAAGAGCAGACAAGCAAACCCAGCTAGCCAGTGGGCGTGACCGCCTCCACAAGGTATGTAAGAGTAAAACATTGCCCCATTCTCGTCGACCGTTTGTTTGAAACCCTCGCGAAGGATGACATACATCTCATCAAACTTGCCGAGGCCATCTGGAATGGCTGGTAGTGGGCTCATGTAATCAAGTGAGCGGTTTGCTTCGAGAAGAGTAATGAGTTCGTCGAATAGTCCTTTTTGTATCCTTCCACCCTGGGCATCGAGAAATTGGATCTCAAGTCCGTTGGGCTTTGGAATGCGAGTATCCATCTGGTTGGGGGGGAGTGTAAAGTATCAAGCCGCATATCACGACGCCTTTTCTATCCGAAGCGCGGCGCGCCTGTTTAGACATAACGATGGGCAGACTCCTAAACAAGCAACCTCATCGCCGCTCGAGTTCTCCAAGCGAGATCTAGTTGGTTTATGCATTCTACTTTTTTCCAATACCACGCCAGGGCCACAGATTGTTTGCTTTCAGTTTGGGTTGAGTTACATAATGCTCACTCTGCGATAACATATTCCTACCTGGCTCCCGTCTTTCATGTATAACGTTCACAATACTCCCTTCATGCGTCCGGTAATTATATAACATATGGGCAAGCCCTAGACCAAGTTGTGGTTCCTGGAGACTACTAAAATTTCGGTCAGGTGTTGCCCTTCAATTCGTTTGACTCGCCCGCTGCGCATGCGCTCTGGCATGTCATCT